CAGACTGTGAGGGCCCAGGGCCTGGGGGTCAGAGGGCAGTGCTCACCCACAGACTGTGAGGGCCCAGGGCCTGGCTCTTCTCTGAGGAGCTGCACAGCTCAGGTGCCTTCTCCTCTATTGCCTTTCCCACCGTCCTTGCTGTGATGGGTGGGCCTGCTTCTGCCCCTCTCCCTTCTGATCACTGCCGCCTACAGACCTTCCAGGCTCCTCTTTCCCCCTTTCCCTCTATTGTCTCTTCACCTTCTGGCATTTTCCACTCAAATACTGACCTTGCACTGACGCTGTCAGTCAATAAGTGAAACCCTTGCTTTTCTCAACTGAAAATAAATCCATAATTAATTCATTAATGCTGCGGAAGCTTGAGTTCCTATGACATACGAGATTCTATTCTAGGTGACTATGAACGGTGAACTAAAAATGGCTGAAATTAAACAGAGTAAAAGCATGGGTTCAGCAGTGTATGGTGCTTTGTGAAAGAATAAGGTTAAGAAGTGAGAGAGGCAGCGAAAAGTGCAACATGTGCCAGATATTCAGAAAAGACCATGTAGACAAGGTGATAGACAGGCAGAAGCACAAAGAAAGGGGAAGCACACTGGGAAGGGAAAGGTGGCGACAGCATCCCGAGCACAGGAAACACTGGGAACCAGGGAACAAGAAGGAGGAGCCGGCCTGGGGCAGAGGGAGTGAGGAATGGCAAATGAGAGTAGAGTAGAAATGTGGGGTCAGTGAGTCTTAATATTTATTCCCAGCAACACAGGAACCCCCAACCAGTCACACACACACATACACACACACACACACACACACACACACACACTCACACACACACACGAATCTCAAAAGGATAATCCTGGCTGCTGTACGAAGCTCAGAAGGAAAGAGGAAGCTGAACAGGAAATGATGACCCAGAGGCCTCCAGGGGAGGACCAAGGTGGGTTCAGGAGGGGAGAGAGTATTTGGAGTCTGGTATAGGGCAGAGCAGGATCCACAAGGTTTTGCTGGCAAGAGGAATGCAGAGCATGAGAAGGGAGAGTCGGAGAGCATGTTTATCTTAGGAGACTGAGGGTCACAAAGGTGATCTTTCATCAGTCTCCATAAGGTTTAAATAGCCCAAAAGGCCACAGACGAGTCTTGGCAGCTGATCTGCAGGAGAGGGTGATTCCCTCAGACCATGGTCTCTCTTCCCATGCTCTCACTGCCTCTGTGGGTTTCAGGTTGCATGAAGAGGAAATGAATTCAAAGCATATGCTTTGCCCCTGAGTACATTTTACGCCCTGTGATGATTTTAGCTTTATTTCCAGCTCCATAAATGTGCATACCTGTGCATTTTCAAACAGAATGGGAATTAAGTGGACATCACATACCAGCTCTTCTATGGTGGCAGGACCCTTTGACCTCAGACGAAGAGTCCCTCTGGCAGTGCCGATTTTTTCTGTTGATGTCTTTCCAGCTTTCGACCTTGGTCCTATTTCTGTAAAAGCATGTGAGCAGGAAAGGCATGAGCTCAGAAAGAATGCAACCAGACTTTGGGAAGCAGAGCCGTTTCCCTCTGGAAACGATAAGCGATCGTGGCAGGCTTGATAGAGGATGTGCCTACCTCAAACACATCAAGCCCGCCTGGATTCCGCTGCTCTCCTGCAGGAGCATCTACGGCACAGTTGGAGCTACAAGAAGAGTACGGTTGGGAGGAGGGGACTGGAAGCTTCAGGAAAGAAACAACGGAGTCCGGCTTTATCCCCAGAGCAAAGAGGTATGAGGGTCACCAGGAAACCTCACCTGGACATGGCCTCCCTCGTAAAGCGGGAAAGAGGGAAGTCAGACAGAAGAGACTGAATCGCTGCGACTTGATGCGTTGTAAACAAAAATTCCACCTACCATACAGACTGTCCTGGGAGGCCAGTTGTTGTCAACCCTATTTTACCGATAAGGCAGGTAAAGTCAGTGCAGCTTGGAGTCAACACCAAGTCTTGCCAGGCACATGGCACAACTAATCCCAGCCCTGAAGGGCTGAGGCAGGGAGAATGCTAAAATCATATCACACCATCCCACAGTCTTCACTCCTCACCCAAGAAGGCGGCAGCCCCATGCTGGCCAGGAGCAGGAAGACATACTAAAGGAGACATACTAAAGAGAGCGGTCAGGAAGAAAAGGGATCGGACAGTTCCAAAGAAGGAACTCCGCACAGTCGGCAGGGACCCTCCGGGAGAGGCCGCCTTGTCCCGGGGCCGGCTTTGCCGGCAGGTTCTTTTGTTTTCTTCTGCAGTGAGCTCAGAGGTTTTGCAAGGCACGAACTCTACGCAGCAACACTAAGGCGGGAAAGGGAAGGGAGGGTAACGGCCGGGAGGGGCGTGCCCCACTGAGAGCCCATGCCCTGGAGGATGAAGCCCTGCTTAGTGTGGCTCACTGATTGGCGAGGAAACCAGGTACGCAGAGGCCTGTATGAATTCCCCGATTTTTTTTCCTTCAATTTAAGCCACTAAAGCCCAACCGTTTAAACAGTTAACACACTGCCAAAAAAAAAAAAAAAAGACACGGGAAATTAGAGTCTAACTGAGCACACGCTAGCAGTCTACACACGCTGCTAAGTGTGCGCAGGTGGAAAGGTCTGTGCAAGCTGCGGAGACGCAGGCATCGCGGGTACACGCGGACTGGCTCGCATCTTCCGCCGAGTTCTGCCTTCTTGCTGGGAATCTAGGGCAAGGTGATTAAGACTCCTACACATTCCTTTTAACCTGAATATAGGGTCAGCATCTCCAAAACCCAAGTTTTCCTCTGAAAGTGACCGCAGGATGAAGAGGCAGGCTCCACGCGAGAAAAGAAGCCGTAAAAGGTGGCAGCGTGGGGCCCGCGGGTTAGTCAGAGGCGGAGCGGCTTTCCAGGACCTCAAAGCCGCGCCCGCGAGCTCCGGCGCTGGCCTCGACAGTTACCGCCCGTCCCCGGGGAGCGAGGATTCTCAGCTGCTCAGGGAACCGCTCCAAGGACTGAGTCCGAGAGGAAGACTAGGTCAGTCCGTCAGCACCGGCCAGCGACGGGGCCGCCAGCCCGGGGTCCCCGTCTCAGAGCAGGGGAGCCAGGCTTGCCGAGCGGTGCCAGCAGGTGAAAAACACACCCGAAAGCTTTGCCGTGTACTAACAGAGCTCTGGACCCGCGCACGTGCCCGCACCCCTCCGCTCCACTGTAGTGTAGCCTGAACAGCACCCAGCGCCTCCACAACGTCAGCAGGCCACTACCCAGCGCACGTCAAAGAGAAGCATTTCCCACAGAGTCGTCGGTAAACTGCTTTATTACAGGCATGTGTCTGACCGAGCGCGCGTAGGCTGGGAGGCTGGCGAGCGCGGTCTCGGCTGCGCAGCTCCAGAAGGGCTCGGCCGGGAGCGCTCCGAGAGCTCGGCCTCCGCAGACCGTGCTGAGATCAGCTCCACCCAGCCGCGGGGGGAGGCGGTGCAGAGCCCACGGCGCTGAAGCCGGTCTGCGGGCGCCGGGCGCCGACCCGGGCACGTCCGTCCGTGCGAGGGGCAGCCGCAGCCTAACCTGAGCGGCCCCGCTCCCTGGGTGCGCGGCCCCCCCGCAACCCAACAACGCCAGAATCTAGAGGGGAAACTGTGTAAAGTAAGAGTGTTTGCTATTAATAAGTTGCTTTTAGAGCTGTAAAAAGTGAGCAAAAGAATAGACGTGTCCCATATAACCCTGCCCCACAGACCACCTCCGGTGACCGCACTCCCCCCAGGGCAGGGAACATACACTCTCCCCATTGCCCACAGTCCACGGCTGACCATGCACTCACTCCTGGCACTCGGGTTGTCTGTGTGGCTTCTTATTGCGCCATCAGTGGGTATCATAAAGAATCCCGCCACTGCCCCAAAGTCCCCTTATCACAGAATCCATTTTTATCGTTAGCTTTTCTTTGACAGCCATCTTTTCCTTGGAGCGTGTCACTTCTAAACTAACCACTTGGTGGCGCCAAAGCAGAAGTTAAGCCCCGGTTTAGCCGGCCTTCATGCCATCGCCCGGGGTTTACCAAGATTTGAGCAGGTCTCAGGGACAAGCCAACTTGTCCCCACATGAAAACGAGCAGAAGATCGCGCTCACTCACGGTGAGACCGGAGGAGGAGAAGACGGGTTCAGTGTTTGGGGAAAGTTTTAGATTCTGAATGTTGATAGTCTGGCCGAGCTTGGGAGACAGCCTACCTCAGCGTGTCTAGGCTTGTGAAATCACTGCACTCACTCATGGGAGCATTCTTCTCCACGTGGGGGACTGACCTGCGTGCCACAGTTACTGAGAATGTAGACCACTCCAGCCGGCGAGCCTGGCTGCGTCAGCCTTTGAGCGGCATGTCACCAAGAGACAGCTGTATTTCCCAAACTTCTCACAACATTATCTCTGTCTAATTATGTGACTGAATCTTAAAGAACATGAGCTGATGACATGGGGAGCTATAATTACCATGAAAATTAGGTTGAGTGCTGTGGAACAACTCTGCAAGAGTTGAAAATAAAAGGGGGTGTGGGCAGCATGGCCCTAAGGAGATTAGAAAAGCATTTTAACAACAATTACTTTACGTCTCTGGCCTTTTTAAATGAAAGGACTCACACGTGTTCCTTAAGGTTGTGATTATATAAGAAAAATTCCAGTTAGGCATGGCAATTACACTCAGGAGATGGAGATGGAAAGATCAGGAGTTCAAGGCTACATGAGGCCTGAAAGGAAGGAATGAAACAAGCTGATGATATTTCACATAATTCAGGTTTGTGTGGTCTACCCAAAGAAAAGGCCTTTCAGAAGCTGAGGGGCAAAGAGGCTTATTGTGTGAGCCTGAGTCCACACCACAGAACCAGACAACATAAAGTCGTCCTTTCACCTCCACACATGTGTCACAGAGCCTGTGTGCCACATACACACGACGATGATGATGATGATGATGATGATGGATAAAGATAATTTAAAGGACTTTTAGACCAAGATAGTAAGATAATGTACATTTTATGTTTCAAATTAAAATGCAACATTAATACAGATCTGAACTGCTTTCATAACTATTTAGCTGACATTTTTAGCAAGCCCACAAATGCGCAGTCTCAGCTGTATGGTAGAAAAATGGGGAAATGAGCAAGACAGAAAAGTATTCGCCTCAGCCTCACCGCTAAGCCAGAATTCGAATCCCAGGGAAGATAGCACAGACAAAACTAACTTGAAAGCACTGCTCTGGGGCGGAGCATGTGTGTAAGAGCATGTGTGTAGCGTGGCTTGGCTCGTCAGTGACAAGAGGAAGCAGTGCTCTCCCCATTTCTACGTGGTACTAGGGCCTGAGCCTGGACCATGATGTCACACTTGAGGGCAGGGCAAAGAACAGGATCTCAAGAAGGGTCAGCCAAAGGGACACAGCTCTACCCAACAGCTGCTCAGGGGTCAAGACAGTCCAGGGACAGGGACAGATCTCAGGGCACTTGCCTGACACACCTGAGACCCTGGGATCCACCCAGAACTGTTACGGAAGTCACAAGGGAAGACAAAGGTATCAATCTCACAAGCACAAAACATATCCTAGGGAAGACCCAGAACCAGGGTTAAGGGGTCACATCACAATTGCTGGAAGCTGTTTGTAAAGAAGGTGAAGAGACAAAATTCAGAATTTTGGTAACACAAAAGAAAAATAAATATCTTGCAGTTCAAACCTGTGGCATAATTTTTTCTCCATTAGATTTCAGCTGAAAGTATAGGCTCATTTCATTTTCCTAACTCCTCAACGATATACGATCTGCCCTTTTAAATTTTTTTTTTTTAAGACAGATTCTCACTCATCAGCTCAGGATGACCCAGACACATTACACAGTACAGGCCTGCTTCAGACTCAAATGATCCCCCTGCCTCTGTGCCTTGAGTCCTGGGATTCCAGACATGAGCCACCATGCCCAAGTGCTCTGGCCTCTTAGGACATCTTATGGGACTTTCCACTGAAATCCGATTGCCTCCACCTTCACGCTTGGTTTTCAGCTCACAGTTGTGTCCTAATGGCCTCGGCTAATTGTTTACCCTATAGAACAATCTCCCTTTGCTCAAACCTGTACTGCAATGCATGGGTCGTGGTTGACAGCGTGGAGTTTGGCCTCTGAACACCTGACTTAGCATCCTCAGAGCCTCTGTCCAAACTTGAGGGACAAAGTCCTTACCTGTAAGCAGAATGGAATCTACAGAGCTGTGAAGGCACCCAGTGGACCAACACAGGGAGGGCACTGGACCTGGCAGCCTACTCCTGCTAGCAACTGCTGCTGCTTGAGAGAGGGGCAGGGTGAGGGAGGAAGGGAGGGAATGAGGGAGGGAGGCAGGGACCTGCTCTTCACTCCCTCCAGAACAAAGCTATTTACATTCTCACTGAAAATGAGAAATATGCAAAAGTCCCTCTTCTTAAGTTCAAAAAGTTGTCACTTCTAACACCAGGAGCACAGGCCTCCCTCTCTGTCTCTTGGTCTTAA